TCTATATGATTTGATTAATTAACTCTGCTTTCTAGTTTCTTTTTACTTCAATACATTCTAAGTTCTTAAACTTTTTGAATTTCTCTATCTTGCTTTTTTTTGTATCTTTTTCTACTTTTCTAAATACTCTCTGTTGAATGTTATCTGTGATATATTATCTTTTTTCTGTATGAAGTTTAAGATATTATATACTTCTCTTAAAGGAATTCTCTAATTTTAATTATATTAATATATTATTATTTTATTATATAATAGCTATTGATAAGTAGTCTAGTCCTTCAGAAATATCTATTTATACTTTTGTAATTATTATATCTAGTAGAAAACAATATATTTATTTTTTAGTTGATAAATCTAATAAATCTCATACTAAGACTTTTAATGTTTCAGAAATTGAAAAAGTATTAACTATAATTGAACTTAAAAAATTTGTTGCTATTGTTTCTAATTCAGAAAAAGCAATGCAATTAGCAAAACAAATAATTATAAAAAATATTTTTATATTTTACTAATAAGATATATTGCTCATCATATTAATCTTATTACATCTAATATTATTAAATTAGATTTTGTTAAATTAGTTTTTAAAAAATGTCAAGCAATAATTTTATTTTTTAAAACATCTTATTATGCTAGTGTAGCTCTTTGAGAAGATATTATAAATTTTTTTATAAAAGGTAGAGGTTTAAAAACTTCAGTAAAAACAAGATAGTTAACAGTATGGAACTGTTATAATTCTATTATTCAATTAGAAACTAGTATTAAAGCTATAAATATAATTTTTAATAATATTTAAATTATTTAAAATAATAATTTATTTTAATATTTAGATTCTTGAACAACAATCTAAAATTTTTAATAAGAGTTTTAGTTCTAATAACCAGTAGTGACAATTATTTGTATAACTTAGATATTATATAAAAAAATTGTGTAATGATATGTCATATGAGTCACATTGAGTCACGTTAAATATTGTATAGTGAAGATCAAATAACCTTTCAATTGTACAAAGTAAAAGTATTTGAACGAATAAAAGGTTCAGTTAGACAAATACTATTAACAAAATGAATATAACAACCCTGAAAGGAGCTAAGTTAAAAGGTAAATAGCTGTAGTTAGTAAATTGATCTTATGTTCTTGTATTTGAATACAACTTGTTCTTTATGAATTCAAATATGCATAACTTTACATCTAGCACTAAAGGAGAAGTACTAGCAGAGGCTCATTGTAAATAGCACTAAAGGAGAAGTACTAGAGAGACTCATTGTAAACTAGCATATAAATCTGAAGAATAATAATAATTGAAAAGTGAATAGCTGTATATGGTTAGTAGGTCTTATATTCATGCTTTTTGAATACTACTTTTATAAAGTTAACATGCATAACTTTATATATTTAGCACCGAAGGTATAAAAGTACAACTCTAATTAGCTTTGTAAAGTAACAATAACTGTTGTATAAGATAAAGTTTAATCTTGTGAATACTTACAAAGCATTTCTATGAATTTGACTATTTAACTTTATACATACTATAATAGTTTATTTGAAAAGAAAATACTAGCCAAAGCTTTGTACAAAAATACTATTCTAGCTTCGTAATAATTAACTTTAGAAGTAGCATTGGTTAATGTACTCTATAAGAACCTTATTTTATTTTGTTGCATCAAGTAATTAATTTGGGCCAGTAAAAAAAAGCATTACTTTGAACATACCTGAGATTTCAGATTACTATAGTCTATAATAGATACATATATGAATAGTAGATTATATGTTTTGTTTTTAAATTGATTATATAATTGTAATAGATTTCTTTAATGAATATTATATATAATGTATATATAAAATGAATCAATAACAGAAATTCAAATGATTCAAGACAGCTATAATAATATTTTAATTAAAAATATTAACTTAACTTCTAGTAACTAAATTAGTGTTGATGATACATTTCTTTCTTGGGAGCTTGCAGAGATATGCCTAAATCAATATGCAAAGAGCTGTAGATTTTCTTTATGCCACAAACGTGTTGAATATGATGCTAAAAGAAATGTCCGACGAAGAACTTTTGAATGTAGTTTTTCTAGCATTGCAGTTCCTAATAAAGTTATTGATCCAACTCAGCAGTATCAACAGTCTTCTAGTAAAATTAATTGCTTATAGCATATAAATCTTATCAAACCAACAGTATCAGCAAAAGTTGGCATTACAAGCATTACAGAGCAACACAATCACCCTTTGTTGAATAATGTAGATTTGTATATACCTAAATACTGAAGATTATCTGATGATATAATAGAAGATATTAAATTTTATATTACTAAAGAGAATATGAGAGCCAAACAAATATATCCTTTGTTGGTCTCTAAATTCTCTGACCAAATTTTATTGAAACAGGATCTTTACAATACTATTAAAAAGTTTAGATCGCCTTTAAATAATCATCATAGTGATGCACAAAATATAGTAAACTAATTATTTAAATTGAAAGATAAAGAAGATGAATGGATAATTAAAACCAGGCTTGATCTATTCAATAATCAGCTAATTGGATTATTTTGGATGTCCTCTATTCAATAACAATATCTTTTAAAATACAATGATGTGGTTCAAGTAGATAATACATGTCGTAGCAATTGGTTCAATATGTATTTAACTCTTTATATAGTTGTGAACAGTAATACTAAAAGCAGATTAGTTGCATAATGTTTATCTGAAAACAAAATAATTGAAAGTTATGATTAGTTTTTGGAATATATTCTAGAATTAACTTATAATGAATAGCTATCCTCTTTATTTTCGAATGCTAATTCTGCTTTAATGAATATAATAAATTTAAATATATCTAATACTAATCATTTCTTTGTATATTTCATATACAAGAAAATTTAAAAAAAAAATTACAATGTAAATTAGGAAAGGATTATGATACATTTTATAAAGAGTTTTTGTATATAAGGAATAGTTTCTTTGAAAATGAATTTCATTGTCAATAGATAAGATTAATTGAAAAATATCTACAATCACAAGAGTACCTTAACCAAACTCTTCAGCCAAATCATCGT